TTATTTTAGAGGAAACTCAAGTGACCTATGGCATTAGGGGATCCTAATCATTGGGTATAAAAATAGAATCTTAACTTTTTTCTTACTTAAGAACATGATTGCAAGAACATGGTTTCAAACAGCCCCTTTTTTTCACAGAGAACAATGAACCTGTGGAACTCATTGCCACAAGACATTGCAAAGGGCTACTCCCTGGAATGGGTGGCCTCTGCTAATTTGCAAGTCAATTTTTCAACCAATCCACCCAGGGCCTCTGAATTAAATCAGTTTTAAGATTTTCCCTGAAAGGGAAAGAAGAAACTTCAAGCCGAGAAGCTAGGGATTGGCCCAGGAGAGTTCCCTCACACAAAAATAATAATTTCTTGATTTTTCTGAGCTCAGACGAGTTTACACGCTGCAAATAATCTCCTTCACTTCTGGGGAAGTAAAAGAATTTCTGCCTGCAATTTTTTCCCCCCGTCACTTCCTTGATCTCTGTGGCTGATTCGGTTTAATTCTGGAGGGCTACACTACCACATATTTCTTCCTTGGCACTTCAACTTGAGTGCCAGGGTGAAAGAGAGAGAGAGAGAGAAATAGGCTGGATTAAGAAATCCTATTTCCTTCCTGATTTTTCTTTGAGGCAAGAGGCTGTTGCAACCAATCTCCGCCTTCTGGAAATGTGAGCATTTAGCAAAAACAACATGCAAACTTCCTGAGCTTCAGGGTATTCTCATTTTTTTTTTGTATGCACTCCAACCTCTGATGAAACTCGATTGGTTTGACCTAGTGTGTTTTTTGCCCCCCACCCCTTGTTGCTTGTAAACCATGATCTGTGGTTTAGGGTGAGGTTCAAATTGGTCTGGGAAGCCTAAGATGAGAAGCAGTGCTTACAGTAGTGGCCAAAATTGTGGAAACCTTTTGGGAAAAGTGTCTTTTTGAGGTTTGATGGCTAATAATAACACCACTTTTTTGGGGGGAGCAGTACCATAAAATTATATATCAATGAAAGGACAATTTAATCAAGAGTGTAATGCAACAAAGCTTGTTCAATTATCTGTATGCTATGCCATGTTATAGCCAAATAACCAGAAAAGGGAAGCACAACTTGCCTAGCTGATATCAAGTAGCTTTCCATCTAATTTGTAGCCAATGAGCATGAGTGTTTAGAGAGGTAATCTGGTTTTGGCAATGAGCCAATCGGATCACAGTAAGATTCAGTTATTGCTGTCATGTATTGAATATGAGAGCCAAGGGCATTTGTCAGTGTGTTATGTGATCGCTATCAAGTTGATTGGGTGTTTTTTTTGATGTTCTTCCATTTAGTGATCTTGTAAACCCTAATAATTAAAGTAATGGTGCAAGGAGTTGACTGGTTGCCCAGAAAGTGATGTGAAATAGTATTATGAAGTGAACAAGGCTACAGTTATAAAGAAATTAGAAGAAAAATTGGTGGCAACTTAACCAAAGGTGGCATTTCTAAGTTTTTGAAGAGGTACAGCTGTGTGAAAAAGTCCTGCACACTTTCAGTTTTAATAGCAATAGCACTTAGACTTATATACCGCTTTATAGTGCTTTACAGCCCTCTCTAAGTGGTTTGCAGAGTCAGCCTCTTGCCCCCAACAATCTGGGTCCTCATTTTACCCACCTCGGAAGGATGGAAGGCTGAGTCAACCTTGAGTCTGGTGGGATTCGAACTGCCAAATTGCAGTAGGAGTAGCTTGCAGTACTGCACTCTAACCACTGCGCCACCAAGGCTCCATTTAAACTGTATTTCCATGTTTAATCAACTTTTCACTCATAGAAACCACGCAAAATTAGTACTTCGATGAAAATGTCTATAGTCGGATTGAGATGCATAATTTTTATTAATATAACCAAAGTCTTTTAAAGGTTCTGAGTGAGTTTATGTGCTAAAACAAACAACTTGCATTTTCGAGAATATTAGGATCGAAAGTAGCCAATCAGCAGCGAGCTTTGGCTGACCAATCAAAATGCAGAGGGGCTAAATCTATGAGCCAATCAATGTTGTCATACTCTCTGATATAAATAGGCATGAAAAGCATCGAGAAATTTAATTTAGCTCTGGCTGTGGGCAAGGATGAAGGCCTTTGCTTTCACCAGTACTGAGCAGCGGCATCGCATCATTGTGCTTCATGAAGAGGGTTACTCCTGTGTAGAAGTAGCCAAGAGAGTGAAATGCCATCGTACCACAGTGAGCAGAGTGGTTGAAAAATACCAAATAACTGGTTCAGTTGATGACAGGCTCCGCTCTGGAAGACCAAGAAAGTCGACAAAACGGCAAGATTGGGCTCTGCAACGCATTTCGATGGCTGACGGGAAGCTCACCTCATTTCAGATTACAAGAATTTGGGGGTGAAACGTGATCTAAAAGTGTGCACAAGCACAGTGCGTCGCAGACTGCTTGCCAGAGGGCTCAAAAGGTGCAGGGCTCGAAGTAAAGCTGGGTAGGCATCAACCTGTTTTCATGGTCATTGTAAGCATGCAAGAAAATTCACAATCCCCATCCAAACAGCACCAAATTGCAAAAAGCTTATGCTTTTCACTCAAAAACCACCAGTATTTATTCAAATGTAACAATATTTGCATAGCAGTTAGCATAAAATATCATAAAATCAATGGCCTAGCCAAAAAATGTCATAAACCATAAAGCGTGCAGGACTTTTTCACACAGCAGTCACCAGAAAACCACACTCGTAAAAGCAGGAAAAGGTGCACAACTGCAAGTGATGATAGAAGAATTAAGGGACTGACTATGTGACAGAGGAAAATAATCTGGGTGTATACAAGATGAAATGGTGCAATGCAATGTGAAGTTGAGTGCAAGGACTGTTCGGTGCAGACTGCAGAAATTTGGCCTAAAATCTAGAATTCCACAAAAAAGCCACTTTTATCTCTCAAAGGTTGAAAATCATCTTTCCATTTATATATAATTTTATGGTACTACTCCAAAAATATAATATATAATTGTAATATCCATACAGGATGGACTGATGTCTCCTCTCTGGGTGACAGACACCTTGCAGAAGGATAATTTATGAATAATTTGCTACTAATTTCGGTTTTGCTACTTTTAATTTCTTTGTAGCTGGGCTTACTTGCTTGGGTAACCTAAGGACATTTCACAGGGTGCCTGCCACAGAGGGATGAGATCTCTCTTTTTGGAGCCAAATTTGCCATTTAAACATTATTTTTCTACACTTTTTTTTGCAGAGCTGATATTGCGTTGATTGGCCTGGCAGTCATGGGTCAGAATCTCATCCTCAATATGAATGATCATGGTTTTGTGGTGAGTAAACCTTGAGTTGCAAAGATTTGGTGCAAAATTATTTGCAAGAGGCAGAAGCTGGACATCCCTCAGATCAGATGTTGTGAGATGTGGCTTCAATAACTTGTGATACATTCCTCCACAGGTTATTCTTTTATAAACATATTTTTCTTCAGTGTTAATTGTAGCCTTTTGATATTGATTTTAGGCACCTGATAGTATTGTTATGGCCAGATTAAAGAATACAAACTGTGAAAATCAATAATCCTCCTGTTGCCTTCATAATAAAGAGGATTCCATTTAAAAAAACACAAAGGAGCTCTTTAAAAAAGAATTTATCTCATTCTCTTGTCTTGGAAGATTTATCTGTAAAGTGTAGCTTGACTCACTTCCTTGAGCTCTCTCCTAAATCAGTCATTCTGCAGTTGAGCCTGCAGTGTGATTGGGAAGCAGAGGGCACAAATCATGCAAAAAGTAATGATTTTGTTTCTGTGTAACTAACTCATAAATATAATTCAGCAAATGAGCAATAAATATTCTTTGCCCTGGGGAAAGGGAAGATAGGAAAATGTAGTCAATCGTCCAGGAAAGATTTTCCTACCATGTTTCCCCGAAAATAAGACCCTGTCTTATATTTTTCCCCCCACCAAAAAGGCACCAGGTCTTATTTTGGGGGGATGTCATCCACTGACTAACCTCACTTGCGTGCGTCGCCCCCAGCCTCCTTTTCACTGTCAGAGGCCTTCAGGAACTACTTCTGTGACCGGCAAGGCTTTCCTGAAGGCCTCTGCAGCCCATAACTGAGCTCTGGATCGATCCTGAGCTTTGTTCTCAGCTCCATAGGCCTTCAGGAAACCCTTGCCAGCTGCAGAAGAAATGGGCCGGCAAGGCAGGTTGTTGAGGTATGCAAGGCCTGGCTACAACTGTCCAAAGGTAAGTAGTAGGGCAACTCCACTACCACATCCCCACTCTAGCTTAATTTTTACCCATGCACTCTGGAGTGGGCGGGATCTTAATTGGGGCTTATTTTGGGCAGCATGTGTAAAAATCAAGCTAGGACATTATCGGGGTATGTCATATTTTCAGGTAGTCTGCAACAAGAAAGCAGGGAAAGGAAGCTTTTTAAATAATTGCATTTCTCAAGTTTTTCTTCTCCAGCGTCTTTTTCCTTTCATTTACCCAGGTCTGTGCTTTTAACCGGACAGTCTCCAAGGTGGACGATTTCCTTGCGAACGAGGCCAAAGGCACCAAAGTGATTGGAGCTCACTCCTTAGAGGAAATGGTCTCCAAACTGAAGAAACCCCGTCGTGTCATGCTGCTGGTCAAGGCCGGAAGCGCCGTGGATGACTTCATCAACAAGCTGGTAAGGAAACCCCTCTTGAGATACCAGCTGCCCCTTATAATGCTGCTATAGGCTCGATATACTTAGCAAATCAATAGGAACTACTTAGCAGTGACCCAACGAGGCTGTATGGACACCTTGGGATCAGAAATTACTATATGTGGTGGACATGTGTAGATGCGAAGAGATATTGGATAAAAATACATACGTGGTTGGAAAAGATGATAAAGCAACATATAGACTTAAAACGGGAAATATTTTTATTGGGGATGACACCTGAAAGTTATTGTAAAGAAAAGGCATATTTAATCATTCTATTATGCAGTTAGAATAGTATTTGCTCCAAATTGGAAAAGTGAAAAGATTGCAATAGAAGAGGAGGTGATCAGGAAAATATTAGAATGTGCAGAACTGAACAGATTTAACACTGGCAATCAAAGAAAAGGAAGAAACTGACGATATGGGAAATATAAGAAAGTAGAGAAGAAGGAGCTAAAAAGGGAGTGGTTATAATGATAAGATATGTGTTAGGATGTTAAAATAAGAATGCAATTATTGTTATGGTAAGGAATTTGTATTAATTAGAAATACTATTGCACAAGATATTTGTACCCAAATGACACACTATTTGAATGAAAGATGGAATGTTTGTAAAATAAAATAATTTTTTTTTTTTTGATAATAATAAAAAGAAATAGTGGCTCTTTCTAATGTATTACAACTTCTCCCTATTCTCCTAATGCTGCTCCATTGCACAGGTGGTCCTCGACTTACGACCACAATTGACCCCCAAATTTCCACTGCTAAGCGAGATATTTTAAAAGCGAGTTTTTCCCCATTTTTACAACCTGTCTTGCCGCAGTTCTTAAGCGAATTACGGCGGTTGTTAAGTGAGTCCCACAGTTGTTAAGCGAATCCGGCCTGTCAGGAGGTCACCAAAGGGGAATCACATGACTTGGTCTTTTTAGCTCATCCACAGGAATGTCCTGCTTGTGTTTTCAGGTGCCGCTGCTTTCTCGCGGGGATATCATCATCGATGGAGGAAATTCAGAATACAGAGATACCACGGTAGGTGTCATGCTCCTGTTAGAATCTGTCTCTGAGGGAGAGGAGGAACAGCCGATAGGGAGTGGGAGTGTAGCTCCCGAGGTTGTGGAGGAAATTGGGGAAGGGCACAGGCCGGCTGGGCAGTCAGAGGAAGACCCAGGCCCATCCCCTCTTCATCTTAGGGCATTCAGGGAGGAACAGATAAGGGAGAAATGTGAATGGTGTGGTCTAGGGGGGAAGAAAGGGCCTTGATCCCCTTCATGGGCTGTAGCTGTGAGGACTGTTTAAAAGGAGAAACTGCGCATGGTCCGGTTCTGGAAGCAAAGCATGAAATAATTCTAGTCCTTCATTGCTTATCTGAGTTCTGGCGTCCTTCCCAGTGTGTGTATTTTGATATCTGTGGACGTCTTCAAGCCCTTATCCTGCCTTGTCTCCCTAATTGCTTCAGTGTGGTTTGTGTTGTTTTTTTCTCTTTATAATTTATATATATTTTGAGTTTGAACAGAATTTCTTCTTTTTCGCAACTGTTTGTGGGGGAGTTTTTTTCTCTCCAGTCAATGACAATTGGACCTTTGAAGCCAAGCTGAAGGAATTAAAGGGTCTTCACCTATTTTTGTGACTTTGTTGCTTTTGTATCCCCCCCCCCACCCACCCCCGGGTCATCACAGTAGGTCTCCGCTAGCCAATTCTTCCATGCGTTTTGTGGTGGTAGTGGGGGAAGCTTCTCGGAAATGATTCTGTGTTCTGGACTAGTCTCATTTGAAAAACATCTCAGATTGTTTCAAATCTGCTTTTGTCTCTCTTGTTGGACAGCTTTGAGGCCTTGTTGGACCAGCCCACCTCCACTAAGCCAAGCTCAGGAAATTCAAAATACACTTGGCATTTCAGCTGCTATTTTTTCTTTTTTTTCTTTTTCCTTTTTTTTTTTTTAAGAAAAGCTCCTTTTCCTTAAGCCCAACAAACTTCCAGGGAGGTGGGAGATGAGCAGCATCTCGGCCCTCTTCCCCAGTTCAGAAAGGAAATTTATAAAGAGAAGCCACTGGATGTTTTGCTTTGAAGACGTTTCGCTTCTCATCCAAGAAGCTTCTTCAGTTCTGGACTTTTTTCTGGTTTTTCTTTGAAGACGTTTAGCTGAAGAAGCTTCTTGGATGAGGAACGAAACGCCTTCAAAGGAAAACCAGAAAGTCCAGTGGCCTCTTGAAAAAAAACACCTTTGGGACAACTATGACCTGCATGACTGGAGAATCTCCTTTTTCGTTGTTAGTTGCGAAGTTGTGTCCGACCCATTGCGACCCCATGGACAACGTTCCTCCAGGCCTTCCTGTCCTCTACCATCTTCTGGAGTCCATTTAAGCTCACGCCAACTGTTTCAGTGACCTCTTTTTTTCTAGGCAGGGGGTTGGACTAGAAGACCTCCAAGGTCCCTTCCAACTCTGTTATTCTATTCATTTTCTCTGCCCCCTTCTTTTTCCTTCCCTTTTAGAGACGCTGCAAGGAACTCAAGGAAAAAGGCATCCTGTTTGTGGGGAGTGGCGTAAGTGGGGGTGAAGAAGGAGCCCGATACGGACCCTCTCTTATGCCAGGGGGAGCGAAAGAAGCCTGGTACGTATTTCAGATGGTTGCGATAACTTAAGATAAATCCTTTATCTTTAGGCTACTGTCAATCTTCCCTGAGTCTTCACACTGCCCGGTTGGCAAGTCGGCATTCGGGACTCAGGACCCCAGACAGCTCCCAGTTCCCAGGAAGCTGGTTGGAGATTTAAGGATGTGGGTTAATGTCAAACTTCCAACTAACCAACTCCAAACCAATAAACTCCGAGACAAGCATTTCCTCACAGTTCCATTTTATTAGAGTTGTCCTATTGGCACATCTGGGAAAACCTGACTTTGAGAGTCCCTTCCCAAAAGAGAAATCAAAAACTCATCCCATACACCCATCAGTCCATCACATGGCCCAATAAAATCTTTGTCCCAACTGGAGACATCCCCACAGTTATTCCCCTCCAGGTGCAGGGCAACTTGTCCTTGACTCTCTGAGAAAGGATTGTTGTTCAGTCTAATCTTCCACTCCTCTATGAAATCCCACCTCCCAAATTCCCAGGCACTAACTAGCCTTTGAACTCTGGGGCTGGAAAAAGATTCCTGCAAGTCCGTTGGACTGCAAGGCCATCCAACTGGTCAGTCCTAGAGGAGATCAATCTTGACTGCTTTTTAGAAGGCCGGATCCTGAAGATGAAAGTCAAAAGACTTTGGCCACCTCTTTAGAAGGAAGGACTCCCTGGAGAAGAAGAGCCGAATGCTGGGAACGATGGAGGGCAAAAGAGGAAGAAGGAGACGGCAGAGAAGGAGGGGGCTGGAGGGAGTCGCTGAACCAGTCGGCGTGAGCTTAAATGGACTCCAGAAGATGGTAGAGGACAGGAAGGCCTGGAGGAACGTGGTCCATGTGGGTCGCGATGGGCCAGACACGACTCGGCAACTAACAACAACAAAATGTGACAGCCTCGAAGCTTCCAAGTAAAATATGGCTTCCAAGGCTGACAGCTGCTAGGAATTAGAGGCTGGCAGGAGTTGGGTTCATTTTTACTAATATCTCTCCCTGCTTTCTTCCTTTGCAGGCCTCACATCAAGACAATATTTCAGAGCATCGCAGCCAAAGTTGGGACTGGGGAACCCTGTTGTGACTGGGTGAGTCTTTCTACTGAAGCGTTTCATAGTTTTATACAGGGAGTCCTGTAAGGCCACCATTGAGCCCATAATGCTTGTTGCTAAGTGGGGCGGTTTAGTGAGTTTTGCCCCACTTTAATCACATTTTTTTGCCACCGTTATTAAGCCAATCCCTGCAGTTGTTGTGTGAATCGTGTCGCTAAGCAAATATGGCTCCCAACCCCGCAATTGATGTCGCTTTGTTGGAAGCCGGCTGAAAAAGTCACTAATGATGATCACCCCACTCCAGAACTGTCATAAGTACATGCCGGTGTTGCCAAGGGCTTGGATTTTGATCACGTGACTATGGAGCTTCCGCAACAACGGTCCTCGGTGTGAAAAGCGGCCCCCAAGTCACATTTTTTTTCAGGGCGGTTGTGATTTTGAACGGACACTAAATGAATGGTTGTAAGTCAAGAATTACTTCTCCTGCCCTACAGCTTAAGAGGGCCTGACAGAAAAGGGAAAGGAATGAGGACAGCCAAGTAAAAGACGTGTGGTTGTTTCTGGAGCTTTGATGTCTCGTAAATTTTAGATGAAGCATTTGTGGGCGAAGGTCAGGCTAGGAATGGGAAGCCGCATGGTCCTGCTTCCTTTAAAGCAGAACTTTCTCAAGCCACCGTGCTGCAGTGGTCAGAATGCAGTACTGCAGGCTCCTTCTGCTGACTACCAGCTGGCTGGAATTTGGCAGATCGAATCCCACCAGGCTCCAGGTGGACTCAGCCTTCCCTCCTTCCGAGGTGGGTCAAATGAGGACCCAGATTGTTTGGGGGGCAATATGCTGACTCTGTAAACTGCTTTGAGAGTGCTTCAAAGCACTGCGAAGTGGTACATAAGTCTAAGGGCTATTGCTACTTCTGTTTTTCTCTCAGCTGGGTTGCATTTTTGCAAGACGGAGATAACGGCTGAAAAAGAGGGAAAGATTCAAGTTTGAGCACCAGCCCCACGCTGGTTGATCCACAGAGTCGATCCATTTCTTTAAATCTTCCTCACGAGCAGATCTTGAACCGGATGCAAACATTATGATGCCCTCTGATGTGGTTCCTTCTTCGTTGTGTCCAACAGGTGGGAGATGAAGGGGCTGGACATTTCGTGAAGATGGTACACAACGGGATTGAATACGGGGACATGCAGCTGATCTGCGAGGCTTACCACCTCATGAAAGACGTGCTGGCCATGGACCACGACGAGATGTCCAAGGTGAGTGGTCAGAGACGCAGCTGGGAATGGAGCAAGAAGTGGGGGGTACGGTCTAAATGATTCGGAGAGATGGAGGCCATTCTGAAATGATGGACAGATGGGTAGTTTATGCCTTCTCAGGTGCGCCAAAGGGGAAACACAGTTTATTCTATGGCTGCACTAACAGAGCCTTTGCAAATCTGAAAGTGCAGATCTTTCAGGCTGAGAACTTAAGGGGGACCTCTCTGAGCTGCTTTTTTCAGTCCATTTTGCAGCGGAGAGCTACGGCCTCGCTTATCTGACCATTCCCTAGGCGGCGTCTTCTCCCTCTGCCCGCCTCCCCCCTCCCTGGTAGCAGAAAAGGAAGGAGGTCTAAATGGAAAGAAGGAGGGAAAGATAAATGGAGGAAGGGAAGGAAGATAAATGGAGAGAAGAAGAAATGGAGGGGAAGAGGAATGAAGGAAGAAGAGGGAGAGAGAAGGGAGGGAGGGATGGAAGGAGAGAGGGAAGAGAAGGAGGGAGGGAAGAAGAGGGAGGGAGAAGGAAAGAGGGAAGAAAGGAAAGACAGAAATATGGTACATGATCATAGACCAGCATGTAACAGAATAACAGAGTTGGAAAGAACCTTGGGGGTCTTCTTGTCCAACCCCCCAGCCCCATATTTCTACAATAGATCGATTGATCGTGGCCACATCATGTCCTTAGATACCTCTTCTAAATTGGGCAATATACTTTCCAGAAACCTACCGGTGATGGGAGGACATTTCCTTGGGCCCAGCAAATGCAGGAGTGACCCCCCTCTTTAACCCCCTCTTTTTTCCTCCAGGTGTTCCAGGAGTGGAATAAGACCGAGCTGGATTCCTTCCTGATCGAAATCACGGCTGACATCTTGAAATTCCGCGACACCGATGGCAAACACTTGCTTCCTAAAATCAGGGACAGCGCCGGGCAGAAAGGGACGGGAAAGTGGACAGCGATTTCCGCTTTGGAATACGGCATGCCCGTTACTCTGATAGGTAACCTGCCTTTTGCTATTTTGCAAATTTTAAGGAAATGAGATTTTTTTCCTACAAACGTTTCAATCTTCCTCTGATTAATCCTGTGTCCTTCTTTTCTTTTCGGGACACGTCCAATTTTTGGGGAGATTTATTTAGTTACTTTTTCCACCCCTCATTAAAATACTTCCAAAATTATTCTGGTCTTCTTGAGAAGGGTATGCTGCATTTTGGAGAGGCTGGGGTTGCCAAACAGGTGAATTTATATTGGGGTGTTTTTTCTTCCACCTGTTATCACCATGACTTGCAAGTTCCTGAAAGACAATGACTCATTCTTCGTCAGCAAAAGAGCAGTTTGCTGGCATGGAGGAAATTAATGTGCCTGACAAGAAGAGCATTAAGTCTGCAGGGCTTTTTTTTTTTTTTTACTTTTGATTTAGGGAGATGGAAGGACACGTTTATGCATTTGGGTCCTGAATGGACCCCTTACGTTGAGGCACCACGGAGTGAGGGGAATCGTAAATCATCACAGGCTCGAAAGATAAGCCAACGAAAGCTAACAAAATTGAAAAAAAGTAGCTGAGCTTAACCCGGAAGAGCTGACTTAAGCTTTTAAATGATGTGGTTGAGACAGTGGTGTAAACAGGCGGTACCGAACCTGTTTGGTACCGGTTTCTGGAAGATAATTCGGGGTTGGGCGGGAAGGAGAAGTGCACAATGTAGCTCCAATGGTGGGATTCAAACATTTTTACTGTCAGTTCTGTGGGCGTGCTTGGTGAGCGTGGCAGGGGAAAGATACTGCAAAATCTCCATTCCTTCCCCACCCCACGAACCTGCTTTCCAGCTCCGTTCTCCTGTGCAGGGCAACCAAAGGAGACCCAGCCGATCAGGAGAGGCGGAGAACAGATGGGGTTGGCGGGGCCAGTCAGGTGGTATTTGCCGGTTCTCCGAACTACTCAAAATTTTCTCTACCGGTTCTCCAGAATTGGTCAGAACCAGCTGAATACCACCTCTGCCTAGATCTCACACATACACCGTTTCACTCCCAGCCACTCTCCTCCAACTGTACAGCCCAGTTCCTAACAGGTACCTATCCGTGGCCCGATGGTTGTACATCCCTGCTGTAAACCCCTCTTTTTGTGTGTATATTTTAACTAGCGGCTATTATTATTCTAAATTTATAAGAAAGATTAAGCTAGGTTTATTTCCTTTTTGCTGCGACAACATAGTTGCAAATTAACCTGAGATAGGTTTTTAGCAAGAAAGCACATTTGTTATTGTTTGCAATTTGATTACCGGGCTGGGTTGTATTTCCAATTTCTTTTCATGCTTCTCCTTAGCAGAGTAAATCAAGTTGTTTTTGAAATGCAGCTCTGTTCTGTTTGAAATTGCCTTCAGTGCACGTGGTGGAGTTTTTGGTCTTTTAACTTGGAGGGCTCAGAAATAATTTGGGCTTTTTGGTTTTCCTTCAAAAAGGAGAGGCTGTTTTTGCCCGGTGTTTGTCTTCACTCAAGGACGAAAGGGTGCAAGCCAACAAACTTTTGAGTGGTCCCAAAACACAAGCATTTAGTGGGAATAAAGCAGCATTTCTGGAAGACATTCGTAAAGTGAGTTCACGGCTTTTCTTGTCAGCGGGCCTGATCCCTTCTTGAGCTTTGATATTTTATCAAAGTGGGTGTAACAGGGCTGGAATACAAACCAGACCAGCCTTCCTCATTGTGGTGCTGTCCATAACTTGTTGATTCCATAATATGCTGAAAATTAGAGGCATATTTTATCTGAGTTGCAGAACTCTGGAGGATCACAAGGTGGCAGTAATTAGAGGTTTCCGCTGTTCTCTGCTGCCATCTAGTGGTAAACTAAAGTATGTATTATAACCTTAAATATCTGAAGGGCATCATTGAGGAAAGCTGGTCTGGTCTATGGATCAGCAAGATTGTTTTGTTTTGTAGAACGAAACCTTTTTAGGATCTGAAGATACCCCAGACCTAACTTCTACTGAGGTCCTTCCTTGGTTTGCTATCACTCTGAATCATAAGGTGGCTAAATTTGGGGGGGGGGGCGCTTTTATTCAGCATGATTTGTGAATTTATTTCTTAGAACGATGTGCAAAGCTCTTCCTTGATGGCTTGCTCATCAAACTGTGGCTACTCAGAATCAAAGTCCTTTATTTTGTTTATGGACCATCATGGTTTAAAAGTCACTATGGTGCCTCCATGCTATTCTCTAACTTGTGTCCTTCCTATAGGCCCTCTATGCTTCCAAGATCATTTCCTACGCCCAGGGCTTCATGTTACTGAGGCAAGCCGCCAAGGAGTTTGGCTGGACCTTAAATTATGGCGCGATTGCATTGATGTGGCGTGGAGGCTGCATAATCAGAAGGTAATCCAGAAACAGGAAACCGATTGGAGGATGGACATTCAGTAGCAAAAGCTCTGGGTACAACACAGACTAACCATTCCAGTCAAACATTCTGGAAATATTGTCAAAAGGGTACCAATACCATTCCACAAGGATTAAAGAAAAGCAAAGAGTTGCCGTCTGCGCATAGGCGACAATTTAAAATTTTCAAATAAATAAATAAAGATAAAGATAACCAGATTAAGATGGCAAAAGTTCCTTTTCTGAAAATCTCTGCTTTCAAAATGCTAAATCCTTAAAGCTGTCAAAATCGTCTTAACTTTGAATATTAATTTGCCTCTGTTGAGACCCCAGAAAGGGATGTACAAATCCAGGGACAGATTTCATCATAACACACACAGTCATTTCTTTTTAAATTAGTGCAGCGTCGTTCTCTGGCTATAACTCTGAATCAATCTGAATCTGGGGAAAATGTGTCTCGATCAATACAGAACGGATTCGTCCTAATTCCCGTTGGCACCAAATGCCAACCCAATTAAATCCCTCATCCGTTTCATATTCTGATCCTTATTCATTTCAATATTTGTTAATGGCTATTTTTGTGTTATCTCCTGGGCAGTGTTTTCTTGGGCAAAATCAAAGAAGCTTTTGATCGAACACCTGACCTGCAAAATTTACTCCTAGATGTCTTTTTTAAGACAGCAGTGGAAAACTCTCAGGTGGGTATCTTCTGGCTGGGAATCCTGGGACTTGAAGTCTGCCCATCTTAAAAGTGGCAGAAATTGAGAAACACCAGTCTAGAGAGAGAGAGAGACCAAGAAACTAATTTTTCTGCACTTTTGTCTTTTCCCAAGGATTCATGGCGACGTACAGTTAGCACTGGGGTCCAGATGGGAATCCCAATGCCTTGTTTCACCACAGCATTAGCGTTTTACGATGGGTATAGACATGGCACTTTGCCCGCTAACCTGATCCAAGTGAGTAACTTATGAATGGAGTCTGATCCTAAACTTGTTTTGATTCCTAATTTCTTTTTTCCATTCACAACTTATTGAATCCCAGCTTAACTCCGATTTTCACTAGAAGTGAATTACAAAGCCAAAGAGCCAGCGCTGTCCGAAGACGTCTCCGTGGTCATGTGGCTGGCATGACTCAACGCCGAATGCTGTTACCTTCCCACCAAAGTGGCCCCTATTTTTCCACTTGCATTTTTTACCTGCTTTCGAACTGCTAGGTTGGCAGAAGCTGGGACAAGGAAAAAAGAGTTCACTCCATTATGTGCCGCTTAGGGATTCAAACTGCCAACCTTTCTGATCGACAAGTCAGCATCTTAGCCCTGAGCCACCACGTCCCTTATGTTATAAATTATATTTTAGGGAATTTTATTTCCTTCATTTGCAGTGTGTCTTTCTGGGTCTAATTGTTATCCCAAAGAAAAGCAGGGAGGGATGTAAAATTCCAATACTCAATAGCATAGCACGGTAAACCTAGAAACCCCACTTAAAAAGCTGCATAAACCACAGAGCATCCTTCAGAGGTGTGGACTTTCAATTCCAAGAATTCCTTAGCCAACGAAGAATTCTGGGAATAGAAACTGACCTCTTAGAAGCCACCATGTGGTCAATTTTGGCTTGCAAGAGTGGTTGTGTGAATGCAATCTTGATCAGTATTAGTTCTTCCGTCGTGAACGGTCTAAGCCTCAAGTTGTCAACTCAAAATGTTGTGCGTTCTCTCTCTTAGGCTCAGCGGGATTATTTCGGGGCCCACACCTACGAATTGTTGTCAAAACCGGGCGAATTCATCCACACCAACTGGACAGGGCACGGGGGCAACGTCTCGTCTTCGTCCTATAACGCCTAGAGGGCAGAAAACCCCATGAAAGCTACATAGAGGGAGTCTCCAAACCTTGGGGCATTCCTGTAGATGTCCAGTTTTTAGCTTTTATTTTCTATTTTCTTTTTGTAAAGACAGTCTTATGGTGTCTTAGGCAAAAGCCAGAATAAAGTTGATGGAATAAAATGGTATTCTGCTGAAATAAATTCTTGTTTCCAACTCATCTTCGCTTTTTTAATCCCTTGAGATCATAGCAATTTGGAAGAAGGCCTTGATGTACAAAAGCAAGAATTAAATCTGGTCAGAGGGGCAGGGATGATGGGCTTTGTAGTTCGCCCCTCCAGTCCTGGCTGGCTTGTTTATTAGCGTATCAGTTTATTAGCCTATCATTTAGCATATCAGATCCTGTTATCTGGTCTTCAGCCCTGGTATTCTCTAATTTCTTGGACTACAGCTCCCCATTTATTGCCAGAAGTGGCCCAGGATGATGGGGCATGTATTGCTACCCATGTGTTGTTTGGATAGGATCATGCAAACAAAATTTAAAAAATAGGAATCAGGTTTCTTGGGAAAAAAATACTGATAAAAGTTAATTACTTACAATACTATTCTTAGTAGTAACACGCCTGGAATAAACATGTTCATGATCCCAACAAAAATTAAAAATAATAAATTAAAAAGAAAACAAATCCTGAAAAAGTCTACTAGATCTAGATCCACTAGATCTTTAGCTGCCTTCAGTTTTTATATCTCCTTTTTGACTGCTGATCCTTATTAAAAAGAATTATTTGGTTTTATTTAAGAGGGAGTTCGCTGAGAGCAAATTTGGAAAAAATATTTTTTTAAAATGATAAGCAAAAACAAATTTAATTATTTTTATTTTATATTGTTTACTTCTGCATTCATATATACATACCTTTATCTTTTAGTTTTTATGTGCCATGCATTTTTATTCTTTACATTTTATATTATATTTTTAATCCTTTTTAAAAAAAAATTTACATCCTTTCCTAATTTATTTTCACTTTCATCCTTTTAGATGCAGGAAAATATAAGGGATAAAAGTGTTCACAAAAGGATTTTAAAAAAGAGTAAAAGAAAATATAAAGAAATTATGGAAGAATGTGCAAAAAATATACATTCTTTCATATTCTTTACAATCTATATTTCAGATTTCATTTACACTTCCATCCTTTTTATTTTCTCTTACTTCTTGGTTTTTATTCAATTCTACATTATATTATTAAGAAGAGATTGAGCAGAGGGCTGGACTAGAAGACCTCAAAGGTCCCTTCCAACTCTGTTATTCTGGTACCTGTTATTAAATATACACTTTTATTTCCATTTTATTTCTATTTCACGTCGTTTTCAGGCCAGCTCAGATCCCTCCCCCCCCCCCCCCGCTCTACCCCAACCCCCCCACCCCCGCTGCTCTCCATAGCGAGACTACAAGCCCCATCCTCCTTCCTTCCCTCATGGGGCTTGTAGTCCGACGCTTGAAAGCACCGGGTGGGAGGAGAATGCGCTTGGCGGCCCCGCCCCTCAACAGCGCCCGCCTGAGGCGAAAAATAAAAGGCGGGAAAAGCGGCCGCCATTTTGGCCGCTATGGAGGCTGAGGCGCAGGTACCACCCTTTCTCCTCCCCTCCCCCGCCCGGGAAAAAGAGCACCCCTGAGCATGTGCAGAGGGCGGGCATGGCTAAAATTCTGGATTCTCCGCCGAGGCCTTTTCTCTCTCGCTTGCTTCCCGCTAACTCGGCTTTTATTGTTGTTTTTTTTAATGCGCCGCGGCCGTGAGGGAGTTCGCCGGCTGGCGGACCTGAGGGGGAAATGAGCAACCCTTTCCCCACCCCCCCCACCCCGAGACGTAGTGCCTCTGAGCACGTGCAAAGCGCCGTTTCTTGGGTTGTTGAAATATTCCACGAGAACGGGGGAGCGGGAGGAAGGAAGCATTGGTGGTAGTGGTGGTGGGAGGGGTCTCTGAGCATGTGCAGAGTTTCCAGAGGAGGAGGGAAGGGTAATCCTGCTGCTGCCAAACTGGCCATGTCCTTTGAGCATGTACAGAGTGCTTTGGGGACGGAATATCGGGAATGAGAGTGGTTGGAGTGACATTTCCCCACCTTTCACTTAATACATACATATAAACATAGAGACACATACACTTTTTTGTATAAACACAGAGTCAGCTCTATTGGCCTGGCACCCTGTTTTATTAATGCTTTGTTAAGAGAAAATGGTGCTTTACTTAAGCATGTTCAAAGGCCAGGCCTCAATAAAGAAAGATTTAGGAGAAAATGACAATAAAAGGATTGTTTTTGTAAACCGTCCAGAGCCAGAATAGAAATATGATAAATAAAAATTGAATAATCGGTGTCATTGATATATTAAATTGTTTAAAAGGCCTGACCTTTTTATGGATATACCAAAAATATGCTCTTTGTGTGTGTGTGTTAATTCAT